CATTATCATAAATAAAATATATTTAATTACCCAGCGTTTTAGCATAATAGCTTTCTCCAATATATCATAAAATTGCAGCAACATCTTTATTCAGGCTTATACAGCATTAAAATAATCTAAAATTATTATTTTTTAATTACTTGCTATTATCCCTTAATGTAACATAGGCAAAACTGAATGCAACTGGTAAGTGTTAAGACCACAATAACAAGAGATTTGACAGAAGCGTAAATAGAGTTTAATGAATCAGGCTCGACTAAAAGAAAAGAGGTTACCACAGTTGTTTGTTCATATTTTTGTTCTTAACTTGATGCCAGGTTTCTCTGTGATAATTTGGGCACCAACTGGGGAGGAGTTTACTCCACCAGACAAAGGGGGTTCTGGTTTGATCAAAGACAAAAAAGAAACTGAATTCAACTAAATAAAGATTGCATCAAGTGTTTAAGACTATATTTTAAGTTCAATTTCTTTTACACTTCAGAGAAGACTTTATAATACACATAAACAGACCGATCTCATCATGAAAAGAGAACAAAGGAACGTTTTCCATTATCTGTCTCTGTAGATGTCCAGTCTGCAAGATATTTTGACAAAGGATTAATGATTAACCTAATTATTGGCCGCATAGGAAAGCAGATACACTACAATAGATCTGACCATCTATGACTGCCTAGTAAAAACACTAGCATTTCTTAAAACAAGGAACATAGAAAATCCAAGTACAAAAACCTACAACGAAATGCTAAAAATGTCATTTTTTAGCAGTTATGAAAAGGTTACAGTCATGATTTCTACAACACATAACAGTTGTATTCAGATGGGACTAACTCTACAATTCCCAAGGCAGAGTCTATAAAACTACCTGTGTGTATTATCATAATGAAAGCAATGTGGTCTATTCCAATTTCCATCAATGTAGACAGTGCAGTATTGTTTTAATGTCACAATACTGTGGGACATTCATAGTTTCTTGTACAATTATCCGTGAACTGTATCTAAATAAGCCATAACATACACCTAACACTACTCACACAACTATTCATGATTGGGGTAACATAATTACATTCATGTCTCATCAACTGTAGCTCATCCGAGAAGTTTCACATCACAGAGCTCCTAACGCATAAAGGATGTACTAGTTCTCAATCTTAAACAATTATTGAAGTCCTAGGTGACGTGTTTAACGCCAGATGTGCAGTGTTCCTTTCACATCACGTTCAAAGTTAACATAAACTTAGAAATAATCAATTTTGGACAACTAGATCTATTTTCCAAATTTATATATTATTATCAATGAATCTGGATAGGAGCAAACCGGCTGGCTAGGGTTTACAAGAAAGAGAGTCTTAATTGTGCAATAGAAATTCGGGCATCCTGCTCCTTCTTTCATCTTGTTAGCTCGCACAGACTTGGGTAAAGACCTTTCCTTGGAGTCACATTATGAGTTTTCTCCATTGCTGAAGCCTTCCCTTGGAGTCACATTATGAGTTCTCTCCATTGCTGAAGCCTTCCCTTGTAGTCACATTATGAGTTCTCTCCATTGCTGAAGCCTTCCCTTGAAGTCACATTATGAGTTCTCTCCACTGCTGAAGCCTTATTCGAATAACCCAGAGTGATAAAAGTTAACACCTCAAGTTAATAGGAGCATCAGTAAGGCAAGCACAGTTTCTTTGTGAGTTTACCGTAGTCTGTATAGGAAGGCAAGTGAAGTTACTACTATGTTTAGAATGGTAAATTAAGCTTTAAACAAGAAAGCATGCAATATTTTAAATATATTAAGAAACCTTTAACGCTACAAAACAGTACAATGGGATTCAAATGCTTATTGCTAACTAGGAACGATTTGTCCCAACACTTATGGTGGTAAACTGAGGTTTAATCACACCCTATAAAAATTATGTCCTATATAGCTCTTGGAACTACTTTCTCCATCACAGAATTATACTTAATTTGGTAGTCATTGCCATTACCCAAGAGTGCAGTTTCCAATATGATATTTTTATGCAAAGATCAATCTGAGACTACACATAATGACAAAGCTTACACATAGCCTTTGTTAAGTGGACGTTGACATCCGAGACTATTTAAGCAGATCCAGGGCCCATTTGGGCTGCATCAGGGCACTTGACAGGTAATCAATCGAATAAGATTGCTGTGGTTCCAGTTTATTTGGTCATCTTTCTCATGAAAAATAGGTGTTTGGGTGGATTAGCTCACCGGTTGACTGATGCATTCTTATAAATTTTGATTGTTTAGCCAGTATACAGCATGTAATATTGCCCGGGATGGTCCTTTAATGCCAATCATCCTCGAAGTTGTAGATCTTTCGGTTTACGAGTCTTTTCCAACTCCATCGCTTGAGGCACGGAAAATACACGCAAGTTCATTACAATGACCGTTTGGGTCAAAGGATTATCTTTTTGTAGCTATGAATCTCAGTTTGTTGATAGAGATTTACTCTGGATTGGCTTTTACGCTAGTTCCTACCTTTAAATTCTGTTGTGCGAGTTCTTCTACTACTTGCATGGAGGGAATATGTCGTATCTTTTGGCTTTTAATGGAGTTTTAACAATCTCACTATAGAAATATCCTTTCTCAGGAAGGCTTTAACATTTTTCTCCATTTTTGAGGTGCACATCCAATGGTCGGGAATTCGCTAGGAGCAAAATGTAGCACATGTCACCCTTGCTTGACGCCACGCCACTTCTTTAGCGTACAGTTTGTTTGTTTGTAGTTATGCACAAGGCTACACAATGGGCTATCTGTGCTCTGCCCACCACGGGTATCGAAACCCGGTTTCTAGCGTTATAAGTCCGCAGACATACCGCCGTGCCACTGGGGGGTTCATTAGCGTACAGAAACCGTTCTTATGAAAAGTCACTGTTCTTCTGTAGTAAGCTGAAAAGGTAGGAGCTCCAGTAAATCAGTGAAGCTGAGTAAGTTTAATCCTCTAAACTTATTGATGGCTTTACAGATCATAATGAATTACTTATGGATGAATAAAACAAATGTACGGAAATTTATTCTGCAACATTTTACAAAAATATCCAGAAACCCACGAAGAACAAGCTATCCTATAGATAAAAAGAAAAGAAAAAAAATGCCTTGAGGTTTGTTTTGAATTTCGCGGAAAGCTACATGCTACCTGCGCTAGCCATCCTTAATTTAGCATTGTAAGACTAGAGGGACGGCAGCTAGTCATCACCACCTCTTAGGCTACTCTTTTACCAGCGAAAAGTGCGACTGATAGTTACATTATAACGCCCCCCACGGCTGAAAGGGCGAGCATGTTCGGTGGGACGGGAATTCGAACCCGCAGATTGCGAGTAGAGCGCCCCCTAACCACCTAGAAGTACAATTCCTTCCGATGTAGTCTTCTCTCAATGTTCCGAAAAAAAGCGCGTGGAATATCTGACCTAAAAGTAGACTGTCACGCCTATAACACTAAATTTTATTTTTTGGTTGAGTAAATTTTGCGAGTTGAAACAGTGATTTGCGTAAAGATTCAGTCACTGAGTATTAACGTAGTAGCTTTACTAAATTAGGTAGACGAACCAGCTTAATGTTACTGAACTCGTGTCAGTAGTAAAAACTAGGTAAATTTATTACAATACTCTTGTTAAACGCAGACGTCGCACCACTTATTATTAGTTGCTGAGTGCACTTAGTAAGGATGCAAAAATGTATAAAAATCCCTACACTGCTTTATGGAATATAATTGACTAATTTAATTTATTAAGTACTTGTATCTTTATATTACAGCAAAAAAAAAAAGTCTATATGTTTTTTTAATTCCCCCTTTCGGGCATAAATCCTAAAACAATATAGCCCACGAATACCGTCTAATTGTTTCCAGTTGCCTTACGGTAATCGAGCCAGCCAACTTTTGATTATAGATGCTAACACACATTATGGATCATCTTTATACACGTAGTAAGATTATCTTACATTTATATTATCAAGAACGCAAGCAACTTGTTTTTATATCATTCACTGCCGGTAGGGGGCCCATATATAGCATCGTACAGAGAACTCACCAAAATAATTCGGTCAAATATTTCATTTCTACGTAAAATACACAGAAGTCAGCAGTAATTAATGGGATTAAGTGAAGTATTGCCGGTATTTTTACTTTTTCCGTAGTGTCTCATAAGTTATTAGGGTAACCAACAGTCTTAGGTCTACCAGCAATTTTGTGCACACGTATCTTAGAAAATGTTTCCAAGACGACGATATGGCCCTTATCGATAATTCTAGGGCTAAGCTTGTTTGTATGAAGTTAAGCATAAAGCTACACAATGGGCTATCTGTGCTCTGCCCACCACGGGTATCAAAAACCGGTTTCTAGCGTTGTAAATCCGCAGACGTGCCGCTGGGGGAGGAGGGGGGCTAGAGCTAAGCATGCTCTGCCATTGTAGTCAATAATCGCCTAAACATTTTGCATACGTGCAGGTGTCTCGGATAAAGATGAACCCCCCCCCCCGTCAGTATATTATGTGGCACGATGATTGTTGCATTCAACGTAAAAAAAATAATAATAATAACGATTGAAATAAATCAATATACGTGTATGTATATCTTTGTTTACCTCTTGCTGCTGTAGTCGTTTCCACTTGCGTGTTGGCAGGTGTGTTGCTGACTTTGACGTTAAAACGGATCCTAGGGTTAAGCCCACGAAATAATCAATTTTAGTGGTAGACGGTCGTTAAACTTTTGGACGGTAGGGAGCTCATTCTCGCATGCCGAAAGAAAATTGGTGAATTTAATTGAATGCAACTCATCATTAAAAACTAAATGCGCTGCAATGAAATAAAACATTTTCTGATACTTTGCCACACGTGTGTATTCTTTTGTGAGGTTTGACGAGTAGGGGAGGCTTAGTGAATTAGTTTCATTCCTGATATTTTAGATGATTTTATTGTCTTTTCTGTGCCGTTTTTATCCATCCATACAACTATTGATGAACTATATTGGTTCAACATTGCATTTAAAAACACAAGAATGAGAAAAAAAAATTTATTTCGCTGTAAGTCCAGACTGTAAACACAGTAAGTCCAAAAAAAAAAAGAAAAAAAAAGAAGGAATGTCTTAATCATACATTTGTTTTCAAATATATATTATTTTTTGGTCTAGTTGCCAGTTGATCAAACATAACATATTTTGTGCTTCAGAGAATTACAAAGATAAAAATGACAAAAGGTATACACCAACAGTTTTCAGCCACATCAACGTTTAAAACCTGACAGAGTTGAAGTTATAAAAGCAGCGTTTCTCTTAAGAATAATCAACCTGCTAAAAAAAGTAAACAAGAAACATTTTTTTATTAAATGCCCATATGATAGGATCTGAAAATTCCACTGTTTTCTCATAATTCTTTGTTTTCACTGACTTTGCTGAAGTATTTCAATTTATCTTCTGGGTCAGGGATGATCTGATAAGACAAGAAAAAAATAATAATAATGTATACATTTAGGAAATAACTTTGTTATAACGATCTTACGAAATTTTTATTTTGGTTTAAAACACACATACATATATATATATAATGTTTGTGTACATACCACTGATGAGCACAACTGGATGAGACAATAGATGATTCTGATCTGGGGGGTACAATGAAACTTATAAAGGGGTGCCACTTTTGGAAGAAAAAAAAATACATCAGGGGCAACAAAGCCATACTAAGGGGTCTGAGGTCATGCCCTCTTGGAAAAAAAGGTTTGCAATTTTCATGGTATCTAAAGATGTTTTTACAACTTTTAAATATATATATATATTTACTCATAGGAGTGTGATCACATCCTCCACACACCTCCTCCTGCCTACATGCTGATATATGATTACATTTTCTGAACACCTGGGTATATGTTAGTTGCTAACCCATTAATTTTGTCTGCTATGAAGTTTCTCTAATGCCATCCGTTATGCAGGAGTGTTATTATTAATAGCACTAAAGGTATTTATACCAGGTGATGACACATGTACAACAAGTACCAGCATAGCAAGGGGGCAATGACACGTGTACATCAAGTACCAGCATAGCAAGGGGCAAACTAAGATGGTTATGAAATGCAGGAAATTAAAAAAAAACAAATAAAGAGGGGGTTTCAGAATCCCTTTGGGAAATATCCAAGAACTCCTGAAAGTTTCAGGGTGATATATCAGTTGGAGCATTGAAATTTTTTTGTTATGAACAGCCAAACAGATACTAGTCACTTTATAATACAGATTCTAGTGAAAGACAGTAATTAGTATTTTAAAGCAAAGGCCACTTTATCCATCCAATCAATACCACTGTCACCAAAATGTAACTTTTGTTTTTCTATGCCCCCATTTCACATTCTGGTTCAATGTTACTATTCTTAACAATATGTATAATAATAAAAAAAATCTTACCTGTCAGACATAATATAGAGGATTTGTGTTTTACTAAAGTACATTAAACAAATAATGACAAGTTTTAATTTTTCTAAGTTAATTACATACATAATACTCGTAAGATTTTTAGTGACAAGTGATCTACAGTCTAATATGGTTCTATTATGAATATTAACCTTTCTAGTGTCATTGGTTCACCAGCTTTTAGTGTTTTAACACCTCAAAATACCAGTTCTCATTGTTATTTAATCTCGCTGGCTATCATTGTAAGCCCTTTTATTGTGTCACTAGCTGCCACTGTTAGCCCTACTACTGTGTAACTACTTGACAGTTAGCTCTTTTATTATGTCACTAGCTGCCACTGTTAGCCCTACTACTGTGTATCTAGTTGACAGATAGCTCTTTTATTGTGTCACTAGCTGCCACTGTTAGAACTTCTATTGTGTCACCAGTTGACACTGTTAGTCTGTCATATAAACTTGTGATTCTCACTAACAGAGGGCACCATAGACAAAAAAACAACAAAAAACACCAGATAGACAGTCACTCAGTTTGATTTATCCGAAGAAAATTCAAAACTTTTCATTTACATAAATTAATATCTAGCAAATTAAAGGTAAAATTCCTTAAAAGTCGATACCAAACTAACTTTCTGTAGTGTAAGGTTCATTTAGCTTCAAGCATTTAATTAGAAAAAAAGTTTTCAGTATCATCAAAATTTCAAGAAATATTTGAGCTAATTTTGAACTCAAGTGTTATGCAACTTCAGTAAGTTACCATATTTTATATAGAACTACAGTGAAAAAGGACAGATTTGAGATCTAATTATAGTTTTGGACTCAGTGGATCAAATCTTTTTCATTGATGTGTTTGACCAGTAGATTAATTTTCTCTAATTCTGCCTAAAAAATTTTAAGTTGGTAGAGATCCTGATGAGTAATAAATTTGAATCAGGTATACGCACGCCCCATGCTTGGTATTGTTGGTATACAAAAACATAGCTAATAAAGAGGGAAAAAAGGTCTCATAGCTTAATTTATTCTAATCCTGCCTAAAAGAATTTCAAGCACCATTTTAATTTGAGGGTAGGCTGGTAGAGATCCTGATGAGTAATAAATTTGAATCGGGTATACGCAC